ACCGGCCCGGCCTGGCCCCTCCTTCTGTGCCCTTGCAGGTCGCGGACGAGGTGGCGAAGGTGCAGATGGCGCTGAGCAATATCGCCGGCAAGAGGGAAAGGATCAAAATCTTGTTTAAGAAAAGTGAGTGGCCGCAGGGGGGCGGGGGGGCTGGGTGAGCGTGAAACCCGTGTGGCGTTTCGCCCCTCTGAACAAAAATCTCTTCCCCCCACGCTGCGTGCGAGCCCGTCGGATTTTAGCCGTTCGTTTGGCGTGTTTGGCAGAAAAATAATTAACTGCGTGGAGCACTTTTCTGCTCGTGATTCTCCCGCTCAGCTGTCGGAGTGGGAAACAGGCTGCTGAAACCTGTTATTTGCTTGATGTCCATGTGTGGTGCGGCCATTTGCGCTGCTGAAGTACAGCCCTTGGGGGTTGCTGGAGCAAGAGCTCCTGAAATAAGTTCTTGCACGCTTGGGCCTCTCAGGCAGGCTAGAGCAGTTCTCTCCTCTGTGTGTGTGTATGATGGGAGCAATGTGGTGGATCACACACGGTCACTGATGGATGGATCTAGGGAGCTGCCCCTGAACTGGGGGATGTCAGGAGTGGACACCAGAGTGGTGCTTTGTCCTGCAAAGCTGCCTCTTGAGCAGGTTTTGTGGTACCACAGAAGGAGCAGGCTGTATAGGAAGGGTCGTTGTGGTCCAAGGCTGCGGTGGCTGTTCAGTGTAAAAATATAAACCATGTATCTGTGGATGACTTCAAGGACGAGGGTGAAGGTTATTGGCTGGTTTTGTTTCAAGGGCAGGAAGAAGCAGATTTCACTCGCCTTTAATATTGTTATCCAAATAAAAAACAAGTGTTGTGGGTGTCTGTAATGAAGCAGTTATTTGGCTTGAGCTATTTGCCATTTCCTGGTCACAGTGCTCCAAAGTCACATGTTTTCAAGTGCTACAGAAGTTCATGAACCTGAAAAAAGACGCTAAGTGGGCAGTGCTCACGGAGTGACCTAATGTGTAGCACGGGGTAAAATTCCACTTATAATTGCAATAACGTCTCTCCTACTTTTTGTCTCCAAACCTATTTTTCACTCTAGTTGAAGATGTAATAAAATACCTTGATCCTCAGTACATTGATAGACTGGCTGTTCCAGATGCCATGAAGTTGCAGTTCATCTTGGCAGGTATGGCATGAATGAGAGGAGACAGGATTTGGGGTTTTTTTTAGCACTGCAAAAGTTGTCTTTTACCTAAACTGGATTGGGATGGATTTCTTTTCTTTAGTTGTAAAGATCTGGAAAGTCACCCTCCTCAGCTCATGGAGAAATGGTTTGTCAAGAATGTTTGTCACCCTTAGCGCTCCTTTGTGCGTGTCCATGCTGCAGTTTCTTTGGTTCTGATCTCTTTCATATTGGTCAGTTTAACCCTGAATTAATAGAAGATTGAAAAGAAAAACTAGAGCTAAAATGGTTTTCCTCATTCCACTTACAGTACTCTCTAGGCTGTGACAAAACCCGAGGATTTTTGGATGGATTTTAAACACCGTCTAGCCTTGTCCTCTTTTGCCCCAAAGAATTTGGTTCAGACTTCTGTTGGTATAGTCTGCGAATGAAACCTGGTGGAGATTCAGATGTGCCCAGTCTGTTAAGATATGGTCTGTGGCTGGTGTAACCCCCACAATTTTGGGTTTTTCAATAATGGGATGGCCTACATGGCACCAGGCTTACTGGTACCGGATGGAATTCACCTTTCTCAAAGCGGTATGAGGGTCTTTGTACATCAGCTGGCAGGGCTCATTGACAGGGGTTTAAACTAGATTTGAAGGGGGTGGGTGGGGGATAATGTCAGGCTCGCCTGCGACAAGCTGAGAGCACCTGAAGAGCAGCAGAAGGGAATTCCAGCCACTCCAGAAGTCAGCTTCATCAGGGGCCTGGCTTAAATGCCTCTGTGCAATTGCACATAGCATGGGGAATAAACAAGAGGAGTTAGAGATGTGTGCACACCTGCACGGCAGTGATGTTATTGGCATCATGGAGACGTGATGGGATGTATCCTATGACTGGAGTATTGGAATGGAAGGATACAGGCTCTTTGGGAAGGACAGGCAGGGGACACAGGAGGTGTCACCCTCTATGACAGTGACCAACTGGAATGCATAGAGCTCCACCTGGGGATGGATGAGGAGGTGACCGACAGTTTATGGGTCAGGATTAAAGAGTGGGCAGAGACAGGTGACACAATAGTCTGCTACAGGTCACCTGACCAGGAGGACCCAGAAGATGAGGCCCTCTATAGACAGATAGGAGCAGCCTCATGTTCATGAGCCCTGGTCGTCATGGACTTCAGCCACCCTGGTATCTGTTGGAGAGACAACACAGCAGGGCATAAGCAATCCAAGAGGTTCCTGGAATGTGTTGATTTGCTATGTGAATGCAGAATTTACGCCAAGAATTGTAGTTTCTAACTTGAGGATACTGTTGCATTGAGTGTACTGCTTCAGCTGCTGAGCATTTTGGAGGAAATAGAGGAAAACCGTGCATGTCTCATGGCTCTTTTGGTGAACCAAAAGGGAAAGATGCCAAGAATTGGGGTTGTTCAACCTGGACAAGGCTCTGGGGAGACCTTCTAGTACCCTTTCAGTACTTAACGGGGGCCTACAAGAGAGCTGGAGAGGGACTTTTGACAAGGGCATGTAGCGATAGGACAAGAGGCAATGGCTTTAAACTGAAAGAGGGGAGATTTCTGTGAGATCTAAGGAAGAAATTCTTCACTCTGAGGGTGGTGAGGCACTGGAACAGGTTGCCCAGAGAAGTTGTGGATGCCCCATCCCTGGAAGTGGTTGAGGTCACGTTGGATGAGGCTTTGAGCAATCTTGTCTATTGGAAGGTGTCCCTGTCTGTGGCAGCAGAGTTGGAACTAGATGATTTTTAAGATCCCTTCCAACCGAAACCATTCTACGATTCTCCAGTCTTAAATCGGTGTGAACCAAGATCAGGGATGAGCAACACAAGAGTCTTAAATAGAATAATAAACAAACTTCTTTCTGTATAGCTAGATCAGCTGGAAAAGGTACCTCACCAGTATTTGTGAAAAGCCAAAGCTGTGTCTTGTGTTTACCGACGTTGCTTCTTGTCCCTCCCCAACCAGAGCAGCAGGCTATTCCTCTTCGAGCAGACCTTCTGGAGCAGGTGAAAAACCTCCAGCCCATCTTGGACAGTGCCAGTATCCAAGGTATGCATGTTGTTCTGCAAATTTGAGCTGCAGATGCCACCCTCCAAACTGTTGCCTATCCTGTTTTCCTTTTTTTTTTTTCCCCCCTCTCTTGAGCCTCAGACTAGAGGAGAGGACAGCTAAGCATACAACTCGGTGTTGGTAAAGTAGGTGCAAACATAGTGGTATGCGTGCTCCTCCTTCATGCTGCTGTAATGTCCCATGCAAGGTCGATGAGGGGATAGAGTAGGTCGGGAAGCAGGTTGGAGACAGTGGCTTGGCAGAGAAGGTGGGGACCAGTGGCTGAGCACTGTGTACAGTCACTGGGCTGTGGAGCCACTCCTGTCTATGAGCTCTTCTGTAACCAGAATATCCCTGCTCCTGGTGTAGGCAGAGATGCCTTTTTTATTGCTTGCCCTAACGTTCATCCAGGTAGTTTACTCTGATGTTGTTCTTGGTGCAGGCAACCCCTAACTCAACCCATTCAGAAGCAGTGAGCAAATAAACTTGGTGTTTAGTGGACAGAGTAGCTGGGGGTTTTGTATGGTATAAAAGGTGTGTTTGTGTCATGTGGTGCTTGCCTTCAGAGAGCGGGTTCTACTGGGACGTGCTTGTGGAGAAGGAATGGTCTCAATTTTGGTAACTAATCCTGGGTGATGTAGAAGAAATAACATGGATTTCTCTTTTGTGTTTTCAGCGGTTCCTGACCATGCAGCCAAACTGCAGCGGCTCTCTCAAATCCACATACAGCAGCAGGTAGCGTCCATGTTCTTGACAGCCTTGACTAGCAGGGAGAATGAGCCGTTTGTTAGTGGCTGTACGGACACCCCTGTATTTGCAATCCTTTGAATTGCTCGTTTATAGCAGGTTTATTTTTGCATCTTGTCCAGGACACTCATGCTGCAGTTTTAAAGATGTATAAGCACTTTGGGGAGGTGGTGCAGGACTAGCTGGGATTTCTGAGTTGGAAAAGTGCTTTGCCTACCCTAATACTGTTGGAAACAGAGGTTTGAGTGACACTTAATAAGCAGCAGTGGGTTTAACCGGCTGGCATTCTCCCTGTCACTGGGACACTGAGGAAAAGCATTGCATTCTTCCAGTATCCCAGTCTGTGGAAGACTGTTGATACTGCCATCTTGTCTGTTTTTTCTCCCCTGTTGAGCATTCCTGGAGCTGGTGATGAGTGGCCTAAGCGGTGCCTAATGCCTCCTTTCAGCATTTTGCTGTGAGTTTCCGTTCTGGGGCAAGAAGAGCATGGATCCTGAGGAGAGCCAGGCGATAGTGCAAGGCCAGGGGCTTTGGCGCTTCATTGAGCAGGGGTTTTTGTAACCCTTCTCTTGACTGTTGAAACACTTCCAGCTGCAATGAGTGGCCACAGCAACGTTCTCACTGTAATCTCAGTACTGGCCTTGGATGAGTTTCACCCTGTGCTATCAGAGACTAGGACAGATATCCTTCAGCTGATTTATTGCTTGCTCACTGTGGCTCCCCTCTTCGCAGAAACAGCGTAAAGGTCTCACTGACAGCGTCAAGACGCTTCTCGAGGACTACAACAAAACGGTATCCTTTGAGCCTGACACAGCTGAACTGCCCACCTGCCTCCTGCGCTGCCTCTCTCCCTTAGATGTTGGTGGAAGCAGGTGATCCCCAGCCCTGGGTTTAATGGCTAGTTCCCTTTCTGTTGTGATTATGCCTGTGTCCCTGTCATACTCCTCTCAGGAGCCGTGCCAAGGGCCAGAACTGCCTGTCTCTCTGAGAAGGGAAGGGCAGGGTGCCAGCCGTGAGCCAGAGCCTCTGAGCTGGAGCCGCACGAAGGAGCAGCGCAGCCTGTGTGCTGGTGCAGAGCTCGTGCTGGCCAGCTGGATGTTGGTATCTCTGTCAGGTGAACTGCCTGAGCCACACAGCGGCTCATCCTGGCCGTGTAGGATCTCAGTGCTGAGACACGTGCTAAAACCACAGCAGGTAGGGAAGCTCTGCTCTTTCCTGAAATGCAGTGCTCCACAGTGTTCAGAAGCACCTCCTGGACTCCCATCGGTGTTTGGTGCTGTGCAGTGGCTCAGTGCCTGGATGGTTTGAGCCCGTGCAGGCTTTCTATAGCCTGGTGCCCTCAGCCTCTTCCTCTGCCAAGGAATCAGAATTTTAATGGTGCTGTTGGGCTGTCAAGATGCTCTGACTTTGCCTCCTTCTCTGCAGTTTCCATACCTCTTTCCTTAAAAGTCACATCCAGACCCTGCTTCTCTCCAAGCAGTTTGTCCAGTGGAATGAGATACTGACGCAGCTGGAAACAGCCAGGGAAGTGAAACCAGCAGTGGAGTGATGGTGGAGCCAGGAGCGCAGAGAACACCGGGCACCCTGCTGGCCTTGGATTGCTCTGGAGAGGCTGCAGCACAAGCTTGCGCCCTGTCATTTTGGCATCTTACCACTCAGCGTGAACATAATGCTAGTGACAACAGGGGCTCTTGGGGGGGCACCCTGGCTGCCCTGTCTCTGCCCTGAATCGAAGCCACACTACTCTTTAATATGCCACTGTTTGTGAATCTTGCACTTCCCTGAAATAACATTTAAAAATACCCTTCTGCTCTTACTGTGGACTGTAGTAAAAGTCCTGAAATGTGCACTGGGTTGTCTCTTCCTCCCCTGGGTGCAGCCACGGCACAGACTGTCCCTCCCTGTGTGGTTTCCCCAGCCAGTGAACTCTGGAGGCCTCATGGCAGCCTGCAGGAGGTGCAGCTGGTGGCTTCAGCCTTGGGCCAAGAGCAGGTCAATTGCCTCC